AGTAACGCAGTAAAAGAAGTTGAATCCCTCTCAATAAGTTATTCAAATATTGTCAGTAGTTATTAATAATCGTCTCTTTCTCCTGTCTACCGAATGAACGGCTTTTTCAAAAATAAATAATAATCATGAATAATAATAATCTATTGGAGTTGTTGTGGTAATGCTTACGTATTCAACACTTGTAGTTCAGAGCTCAATGCCAGTTTCTTAGAGCCGATTAGGGTCTCAGAGTTAATCAATAGTTACAGAAAATATAATGTTCCAACTAAGGTGCACTTTGGTGCATTTCTAGATTTTTCGAATCGCCACTTTGTAACTTTGATATAAAGAGGGTTATTAACTTTTCCCCTTGCCACACCTTTCACGAAAATTTAGAATAGCCGAGACAGGCGGCATATAATTGTAATAGGGAGTTTAAGCAACGACGACGGCGACGGCAAGAAGAACGGCAAAAAAAAAAAACAACAAAACAAAAAAAACAATCGGTTCATATTGGCAAAACAACAACTCTGCACGTGCTGCACGCTTTTGTTTTCATTTCTTAGCCGTCACTGCCCGACTAAGACGTGAAACTGCCTAATTTCATCTTTTGTGGAGGACATGAACACAAGACAACGACTTTCTTTTTCTTTTCCTGAACTTTGATACAGTCTTTTAGAATTCAGCTCCAGCTGGAAACAGTTGCCAACATTTGACGGATTGAACGAGATGGAATAAGCGCAGTTAAGTTTGAAGCACTCGCGCAAATTCACTTTTTAAGTGACGTTTTCGTAGCCATCATGTCGTTGTTGGCAACAGCACGTTTACAACCTCTTCTAACGTTCAAACTACGCTCTCCCCCCTTATAACCAGCAGGGACGAGCAGAAACGTTGTTAGTGATTAGTGATGATTTTATCCAGCGAAAGTTTACGATTTTGTTAGTAGTTTTAGAGTATTTTGCATCAGCAGTTTTGCTTTAATCTGAATAAAAACCTCTCATGCCTCCACTCTTGACCATGGCATTCCAATAAGTTGAGCGGTAGTCTGTTACACAGCCGTTTTTAGTGTCGTCACCCAACGCTGACCTCACCCAACGCTGTGGAGGAGCGTTGCGTGACGACACTAAAAACGGCTGTGTAGCAGACTTGTTGAGCGGGGATTAGTCTGGTATTTTTTTTCTATTACTCAAGTTCCTAACTCCGTTTATTTTGAACCAAAAGAGGATTTTTTATCAAATCAAAAGAAATTTTCTCCCTGTTTTAGCGCAGGTTACCTGTATAAGCAGCTATGATCTCATTTGTTGGCCAATATGAAGGAAATATATACCACACGCTGTTTGGTATGTTGCGAGGAAGTCAGCTCCCTCCTTTAATGATAACAGACGGCAAAGACAACAGGTAAATTTAGTTTTTTGACCTTGGCTTATGTAGTTTGGAAAAGATCGGGTTTTTTTGAAATAGGAAATATTTTTTTGTTTTGGTTTATCAGCACCGTTTAGACGATCGACGTTGATGAAATTCAGAGGGTCACTTGTACTTTCGTAGCAGGGTAGAAAAATGATGAACTCGTAACAATCCCGGGCAAAAGTAGGCGGGAAGGTTGAACAAAAAAAGGCTTAACATGGTTCACTTTTAATGTTCAAAAAAGATGGTTTTCCCTTTTGCTAAATATCTCTTGCCCCACTATTCAGTGTTGGGATCAGTACCAGAACAATTAAGCGCACAAACACTTTAATTAATTAATTAATTCAACATTGCCCCAGGGGGGTGGGGGGGGGGGGGAAAGGAAAAATTAAGTAAAAGTGGTAGCCTTTCCAACACTTTTGAAAATGATTGTAGTTCCCTCGATATAAAAAATAAGTAACTAATTTCGCCCAAAAAAAGCCGGGAATAAACCCTGAAATTGACAGGCGGGTGCTTCGAAAGGGGGGGGGGGGGGGGGGGGAAAGGAAAAATTAAGTAAAAGTTGTAGCCTTTCCAACACTTTTGACAATGATTGTAGTTCCCTCGATATAGAAAATGAGTCACTAATTTCGCCCAAACAAAGTCGGGAATAGACCCTGAAATTGACAGGCGAGTGCTTCTGAAGGCTGGTGCAGGAAAAAGCTAAAAGGTTCGCACGCTATCTACAAACCACAGAGAAAAACTAACGCGTTTCTAAGTTAAGTTACTTACTTGTATGAAATCGACGATGTTAGAGAGTCCGTCTGTAACTGAATGCAGGTGTAAGTGAACGCAAATGTAAACTGGACAAGCTCTTTCGATTGAGTTGAAGAGAAGTTGAGAAAATGGCCTCCAAAACCTTCAAGGATAAGATAATGTTCACGCATAAAATTTTGATTTAAAGCCGCTGTGCAGTGTAACTATTTTCAATACCAGCTTCAAAAACATTTTTGGTCTTCTCAGATTGATATGGAGCATTTATTACAATTAATCAACAAAATGCTTGAGTAAGTAAGTTATTATTTTTAGAATACTTACTTCAGTTTAAATACAACTATAACATATCACAAAAACTATAGAGGTGGTTCAGTTGTTTTGAGTCCAAAATGGCACAACACGTATTAAGCAAAATTGTCAAGTTCAAGATGAAGTAAGGCCCGGGAGTACAGCAACATCCCAGGTACATTATCAAATTTAGGGCTTGTGGATAAAACCCTCAAGGTTAGCAAAATAGAATTTTTTTTTTTTTTTTTTTAACATCTCAAGGGCTTGTCCAATGTCAATGAAATATATATATATTTTTTCTTCACTTCCAAAAAAGAGGACATCCTTGTGACCTATAATAAATTTTTCTAAGATTCTTTCTTCCCGGAAAAACCGTTTCCATCATTTTCGTCCCGGAACTTGCGAAATTTTCCAATAAACGGTTTACTTAATAAAAAAATAACTTCGTAATTTTTTCGTTTCGAAATTTCCGCGGGACCCGTCTGGTCCAATGGATGGAAGGTGCCCCAAGTTGCACCCACGCTTAGAGTAACTGTCAGTTTACGAAGTGAAAGTGACGGAAAAGAACAAGGATGTTTAGGTTGTTTGAGCTGAAGAATACCGAACGCGGAAAATGTGATCATGGAAATTAGCTTTTTTAGCATGTTCTCGTCAAACTGACATACGTTACGGGGTAGCTAGACTTGATACGCTTTATGTGCAGTCAAAAGTTAACGCAGCTGAAACAGATACCTCCGTCGATACCGTCACTTTTGATTCTTCACATTAACATAACTCTATAACACAGTTCTTGAATCTGAGACGGAAAACAGAATAAGAACATTCCTTGTTCCTCAATCTCCAAACCGAACTGGTCTACCAGATCTACTGATTTTGATACTCATCTGTTCCGTTGTAATGAGGTCAAGTTGAATCTCGTAAAAAAAGAGAACATTTTTAACTTTTGCATTAAGTACATGTCGATAGTGCTGAAAAAGGTATATTCCCTCAAGTTTTCTCAGAGAGCACCGTAAAACTTGCAATAAGGAAAAACTAACAAGATAGAACGATTACAGAGTAACTTCCCGTCGCCTATAGTCTTAAATCCGTTTTTCATCACATTTTCGTTTTTCCTTGAAGTCAACCATGTGCATTGACTCAAGTGCATACCGAGGATAGCTTTGATTAGTTCCTCACTTTCAACGGCTTGAAAGACGTTTTGAGACCGTGGGTCTAGTAACGTACCGATCGAGAAATAGACGCAACGCAAGCTAGAAAAGAGGGAAGATAAAGCACGGAATATATCTTCAATCAGACAGTGCCGTATAAATGAGAATGTTTTTAAAAATGAGGAAAATCGTAAAGTTGCTAATTAAGTGATGCAGGTGAACCGGAAAATCCTCTACCTCCCTGAGTAAAGGTCATTTCTTGTAGCTTATAAATGATTGAAATGTCATACATGGAAATTTTGGGGGAGGTTCAAATATCAGAGGTTTACCGGTCAGCTTCTTAATTTATCTCCGTGAGCTTGTGATACCAAATATATGTAATCTAAATCCCTACAAAAAATTAAAGGCACTAGATAACTTTCGAGAGGTCATTTGTAAGTAATTGAGTGTGTTAAATACGTCTCTGATGCAATCATGCCTATAGATTTCCACACCTTCCACTAAAATGAAACCGATGTTCCTTGTCATGGTTTGGTTTAAACTTCCTCTTTCTTAAGTTAAGTAAAATACCTCTAATCATTTCAGTGTCTGGAGCTGTTAAGGATCTGTTAAGGGAAGTTCAGCCCAGTTCTTAGGTGATCATCAGTTATATATGATTATGATATAATAATTACCGATACTCAAATTTAAACCATTATCTAACAAAATTTAATATTGACCTTGGTTTTCCACTTATGCCTGTTAGAGGCTTTAACTTTGAGATTAGACCAAAAAATCCCCCACTCTGAAGAAAGCCGTAAAAGGTTTGCTATGTTTTGTGACCTGACGGCGAATTTTGAGTTACTGCTTTAATAAGTCACTCAGACATTCCAACATAGCTATTCAGTCACAGGGCTTGTCCTGAGGATCATTTTGCCGTTTATATAACCCGGAAATTGGGAGGGTCGCCCCTCCCTTTTTCCAAGCACTGGGGCCAAGGTGAAAATTCCTGAGAAACAGCCAGAGAGGGGAACGGATTTCAAAGTCTTTCAGCATCCCAACCAGCTTAATTGGCTATATATAATTGTTACTGTGTACTTAGTAGCAAAACAGCTAAGTGAATTCACACCCATAGGTCGAAGGAAACCTCCCTACAACCGATTTCATTTCTCACGATTAAATTTCTTCATTCAATTACCTCGGTAAACAAACATTACTCTTCTCTTTACTTGCCCGTCTATCAGTTGCCTACAAGCATTTTATTCGTCAGTTTCAAACCTGTATTTTGTAACTCCAAACGAGACCTTTACGACTGAAGGTACAAGCGGGGCGAACAAATAAATATTAAATACATATTTATATTACAGGCTAACGCCGTCCTCACAAAGTGATAAATAGTTCAGTGTCATATAATTCACATAGGCGGATAATCACAAATTATTTTCTTCATGCACAAGAACAACTTGTTGCAACATGACAAGCTCCATTCTCGCCGAAGAAGAGTTCATAATTTTTCTTGCACGTTGGTGGTGGATGCCCATCCAGGAGACATCCAACATGTTGTCGTTTGCAGTGAGCTTCTTCAACATGTCTTTTTAGACAGTTGTTATACTTGAATACTCTTCTCTTCTCACAAGGATGAAAAGAACGTCTGAGACGGTGAAGAACGTTCCGACTGTCGACGGTGGCGTTGCTGTCTTTCTCTGATAGTGTGTGGTTAGGAAACCTGTTGTCAGTTACTTGGTTTAGTAAACGAAGCTGATCTTTAGTTGTTGTCGGCTTCTTTAGGAGTTGGTCGAATTTAACAGGACTCAGCAGCACTTCGGAGATAAGCCAGCCTCCTATCATAAGATATAGAGTAACCTGAAAGAAAAGATATAAGACGTACAGTCAACTCTCAGGGCTCTTAAAGGACACCTAGGTAAAACGGAGATCTAGAGTTAGTTCCTGCCCCGTCCCTACCTTCCTTACTCCTTTCAGATGACTCTGTAAATCTTCCTAAGACGGACATATAGCCCCAAAGGTGTCCGTATTGGAAAGAGATGCCGTGACTCAGGGCTCCTGCTTGACTGTAATCATTTTTTGCAATTTAAAAGCGTCTTCAAATTTGATAGAACAGGGCAACGACCTGGGGGGGAGGGAAGGGGGGGGGGGTTGGGGATAAGTTCGTCCCTGGTCTGAATTTCAAATGGGGGCATTTAACATTTTGAGGAGGAGGCCTTGTCCTTGTTGGTATTTAACCTCTCTTTATTTCGTTGGTGGCCATTTCCCCCATCTTTTCTTCGCAGTTTCAGGGCACACGCCTTTTGGGATTTTTACGTAACATACGCCCATAGGGATGGGCAATAACATAGTGCTTCGTTGGATTCAGGTAGAAAAGGAGAGACTGTGCGGAAGGGCTCTCTTGGGGCTAGATTTTTTGTGAGTAATTAAAGGGGCCGTTGAATGTGGGGGCAAAGGGGCAGGCGCGGGGGGGAGAGGGGTGGGGGGGGGGGTTGGGGATAAGTTCGTCCCTAGTCTGAATTTCAAATGTGGGCATTTCACATTTTGAGGAGGAGGCCTTGTCCTTGTTGGTATTTAACCTATCTTTATGTCGTTAGTCGCCATTTCCTCCAGTCTTACGTCGCAGTTTCAAGGCATGTCGCTTGTCGGAATTTTACGCTAACATAGTCTCTAGGGATAGGCCATTCATTTTAGCAGCTAATAATTGGGACTGCGATCCGATTATGAAGGGAAGATATAAATATTTTCACAGGCAAATACCTTTTTTATGTTTCTCCGCAATGAGGGATTTCGACTTGGAACTAGTTTCGTTCACTGAAAATATAGACAATTCGAAGGGTGTGCCCTTGATACAAGTTACCCTTTTCCCGAGAAATTGAAAGGGAAATTGACCATGGTAATCGCTCTCTGTGATGACGGAAGCATTGAGACACTGACGGGTTCCGGAGGTCAAACCTTTCGGTGTTTAGTAATACCTTGTTTAAACATGTTTTCTTTTCCGTTCAATGATACCTTAATTGAACTCTTAAAGTGACATAAGTCAAATCTAAATGGCCAAAGCCAAAATCATTCTGTAAAACACTGATTAACAGATCAAACAATGCACCTCTACTAAAAAACTTCATTTGAATATTGGTCACTCCAGTCCAAAGGAATTCCTCCACAGTTCAAAAACAACAACAAAAAAAGAATATTTTATTTTAAGAACATTTTCTTGAAGAACGATTAAAAGCCGGGGTAAAACGTTTTAACCTTACGTCACTTCCTATTATTTTGCTGATTTCAGTTTTTAGAAAACTGCTTAGCATACAGAATAGAAGATTTGTCTCTATTTACTCTACCGTAAAAGAAAGTATAATAAAAAGAGAGGATCTGAAAATTAATCCGAGATCACATATCTCTCTCAGCCCTTTGGTGAAGTGCCTGAGACATGAAATATAGTTCTGTATTTTTTTATTTTGCGAATGAAATCCAAAGTTTCACTTCACTTTTTTTTTTATTAAAATGAAATACTGTTACCTTAACATAACTATAAACACGAATTTTTATTGATTTTTTTTCCCTGCCTTTTTTGTTGGCCATATGATTAAACCTCACCGCTTGCGCACTAGCCGTTAACTTTAAGCACTGATTTGGCCGCTTTAATTCAATTGTGAAAAGTCAAGAAGCAACTGTATGATCTATACAAATACGTTTTGGTGGTACATAACTATAATTTTAACTTTCAACTTTAGCTTGCCCAATCGAACTTTTCACTTTAACAAAGCGGTAGCTAACAATTACAGACAGAATCCCGCGAAAGAACAGACAACTTTTGCAGTGCAAGAAAAACTTACAAGAACACCCCAAATATTCATCGTTGATAATTGCGCAGTCTGGATTGGATGAAAAATGGATGATTTGGATGAAATCTTACAGAATGTTTTCAGTATGAAGAAAAATTGCTACTTACTTTCACGGCAGTTAAACTGATCATACCGCAGTGAAGTCCCTTTAGCGTTCAAGGATGACTGAGTTGATGTCGAGCCTGTCCGTTTCTTTTCTCGAGCCTGTTCCATGATCCAGCAAGAGAATCAACGGGTTTTTATACCTTGTACAAGGAAAAACAAATGGTGCACTGATTACAATACTTTGCTAAAAATAGACTGATGCAAAGTTGTTACGTGGTCTCTTGGCATCCGATTCGTGTCGTGGTGCACCGTGAGCCCACGCAGGAAAAGAAACGGGGGGAGGGGGTTGATTTTTCAAACGTACTGTTGGATACTGGAGTATGTGGCTTTACTCTTTTGGGCGGTTAATTGGGCAGGTGTAAAATAGGGGAGGGGAGGGGGAGAAAAGGGCAAAAAGGGAAAAGGGTATTCCCTCTCAGTCTTCGCCTTTGTGTAAATTGAAACGAACCAGAATCATAAACTAAAAGGTCTCTTGTCTTAAACAGGGTAGCGAATTCCGGAACGAAATGAACTTTTTTTAACAGGGTCAAGATTTGAAGTCCTCGGCGGCACACCTCTACCTGAACATCCCTTGAGTCCACCGCCCGTGCATCAAGGCCCCCTCCTCTGGGAAGCATGTCAATTAGAATCCGTTATGCCCTGGCTGTAATATAACACAGTTTTACAAAGCTTTTATTGCAGCAAGCAGAATAAAAGATTACTCCTACACGCTACCCCGGTTTAGCGCCGGATTGGCAGTCATGCAGCCGGGCAGACCGGAAACGCCCCGGGCCATGTTTTTGCCTTTTTAGTGCAGACCACATTTTACTTGGCTTAAACGCGACGACATTCTGACCACAATGAGTAAACAGTGATTCAATTTGCAAGGCTGATGTAATATCATCAGAGCAGGTAATTACACAGGTAGCCCAAGCTTGTAATATGAGCATCAGAGTGCATCGGCATTGTTGCGTAACTTTCGAAATATAAGGATTTGTATGGGGAAAAAATCTATCGTTTCTGTAACCTACGAAAATAAAAGATTTTAATACAAAACTGCTTACCTAACAGCTTGGGCTAGCTGTGGTAATTATCCGTGTGAACAAGGGGTAAGTGATGATTTTATAAAATGTTTCATAGTCCAACATTATCTTACATATAATCAGTAATTAAAACATGAATTAAAATCTACCTTTTTCTTATGTACTCTATCTATATTCTATTTTTTCAAATGACTTCTATTTATCTTGAAAATTAAGACTTATCGTTTCAAAGCTCTTAAGTCTCAGCAGGATAGGCGTGTGCCATCAAGATTTTAAAACCATGACCCCGTATATACTTTTTAGTTAAAAAGAAAACATATTTGAAAATTGACACTCTTCAGCTGACCTTTTTTTAAACAACAAACATAAAACATGACCCCAGCCAATAACGCGGAACTTTGCGAATGGGTCGGGTTTTTTTTTCCCATTTCCTACCTTGGATAACAGAGGTTTCTTTTCCTTTCCTACTCAGCCTGGTCTCGACAGCGAGGAGCGAAGGCGCACACCGAGATAGCCTGCCACGAACCTCTAACAACGTCTGCGTGGGAGAGCTTCATCAAACCGTGTGCACAGGTTTTTCCATCCCTTGGAGAACGGACCTCTGGAGCCGGAGTAACATCAGTTGAATTGTATTGCTTTCTTTACAGTTCGCTCAGCCTTACAAAGGCGGGTTAAAATATGTGATTTTAGATACCCTATCAAAGTAACACATACCAAACGGCATAGAAGCCCCAAAGCCATACTCTATCACCGGCTAGATCGGCTTGATACAGAACAGTGCCCCTCAGGGCTGGTAGACATGGGGAGGAGAGGGTGCACCGCAGAAATTGGCCTTTTGTGGGTGTTCAGCGAGTAGGGATGACGCAGAGAGAAGTAAGCAGAAAAAAACAGGGAGGGGATAGGTAAACAAGACGTTGTTCTCTCCTTTCTCGCTCTTCTTTTCTTCCGCACCCTCCCCCCCCCCCCCCCCCCCCCCCCCCTTCTTCCCCCCCCCCCCCCCCCCCCCCCCCTCCCCCCCACTCTAAAACCACACAACTATTGTGTTGGGGGGAGGTGGCGGGGGGGGGGCGCTGTGATTTTATATTAAAAAGATAGTGGGGGCGAGTTGCGTCTGGGGCGTGGGGGAGTGGGTTCGTTTCCCCACTATAACCCATCCAACCTCCGGGGGGGTAGAGATGGGGGGGAGGGGGTGCACCGCAGAAATTGGGCTTTTGTGGGGGTTCAAGGAGGAGGGGTGAAGCAGAGAAAAAGAAACAAAAAAAAACAGGGGGGGGAATGGTAAACAAAACGTTGTTCCCTCCTTTTTCCCTCTTTTTTTCTTCCCCCCCCCCCCCCCCCCCCCCCGTTACCTCTATTTCACGCCACTCTCCTACTACTTTCCTACAATCTCATAGGATACAGTCAAAGTATGTCGATGTGGGGAAATGGTGTGTCGGCAGAATGGGTATATTATTTTCCAAAAGTGATTGAGATGCTCTAGGATCGTGAGGCGAGGGAGGAGTATCTTCTCTCCCCATAACATATTCCTAGCTGTTTGATTCGAGCGCAGGCACGTGCAAAGATCCGATTAGTTACGTCACATTTTCATTGTTAGGTATCAAGCTTGCAAAGTAGTACTCAGTCTACTCAGTGACTACGTCTCGCTCGAAGGGCGTCAGCCCTATTTTCCCCTAATATCTATTCCTTCCTGAAGTTAGAACGCTAAGAGTGGATGGGGGAGGGGTACTCCTGGGAATTCTTCTTCTCCTCCACCTCCAAATCCTGACCCTAGAAAATGTCATTTTTAACTTGCTTTTAGAACCGGCCAGGAAAAAATCATGTCATCATAACTTGGACTAGAACGCGAACAAAAAGACATCTAAAATCCATTTCGAATTCGCATATTAATATTTTTTTTATACTCATTTGGAATTGAAACGATAAAGAAAACTGCAAAAACCGTGGGCGAAGATCCTGCTGGTTGTCAACGTTGGATCTCCAGAAAATAGATCTAATCAGCTAAAATATTAAGAACCAAAAAACGAGAAGTCCAAAGACTACTGCAAAGCTGATCATAACAACGTGTATTGCTTTTTCATAACAATATTTCGGCTGACGCCATAGCAGCCTTCTTCAGGTTGGCAGATGTTACTGAATTTATGATAGGAATTACAATATTATATAGATGGAAAATTTTGCATTAAAACTTGTTTAAAAAGGAGAGGCGGAACACTCCCGTAGCTCCCTCGAAACACCATACCCTATTCCCGATCAAAACTATGGGCACGACATAAAAACCATACACGTATTTTCTGGGTGGCACATGCCTCTATATGGCTTATGAGGGTGCAACCTCGTCCCTAGGGACGAGGTTGATGAGGGTGTACCTACACGGGTGATTTTTATTGAGGCTTACAGAAGTGTACATGCGTCTCAAATACTTATTCAGTTTTTCATAGTTTTAATGAATAATAAACAAATTTCACGACCAGTTTAATGACAGCACAATTGTCTGTTAGTTTACATATTATAGAAACCCTGAGCTTCAAAGTTTTTACGCACAAACACAGGCAGTGATAAATGTTTTTGTACACTGTGGATAGAATGTCATCTTAGGATCGCATTTTCTGGTGCCATACGTAATAGCGGACTTATGACATGCCGTGAAGCTGGCGTCTTTACACTCATACCTTGTAACCCACATACCATCGCAAAACTCCCAAAAGCGCTTCGCCACACAAGAGTCTTCATGCCTTCTCTCTTCTGTATATACCTCTGCTTGGTCCTGAAGCTGCTGGCTGGTTGTTTTCTTCTCATTGGCGACATTTTCTTCACGTGACGTGTCAATTGTGTCTTCCTTCCAATCGGAAAGCAGGTGTTCAGCTGCTAAATGCGATGCGCCGGTATTACCGGGCAGCGGTGAGCGATCCGCGTCATCTTCAATGGGGATGGCGGTAGAAGCACGTAAGCAAAGAAGTAACACGGTAACCTGTTGTTTGGGAAAGGAAAGGTTTTTTCACTTAACGTAAATGGAATAAGAAAGAAAAGCGAATATAAAAGGTGCGTTAAAAAACGGCCTTTCAGTCTCTTTCTGATAAAAAAAAAAAAGATCCAAATTTTCGTCAGGTTGTTTTATTTTATTTTTTATAAAAGCCTTCTACAGAATCAAAAGAGCTTAACGACTAACTGTGCTTTTTCAGTCCAAACAACCAGATGAAATGATGTTGTTTCTATAAAATATGTCAAAATTATCAGAAGTTCTATCTGTTAATAGTAATAACTAAAATGAAAAAAGAGAATTAAAAAAAAGAAAAACTCCTGGAAAGGAATTAAATGCAACTTCAAAAGAAAAAGCAGTTTTTAGGTGTTGTTAACTGGTTTTTGACAAACAAACATATCTGCAGGTTGCTGATTTTTCAAACTGATATCATAGAGAAATTAATCACAATGAAAGAGTACCAAATGAAACATAATTAACTTACGCATTGAGGTAGAAAGTTCCTGTTTTGCATCCTGTTTTTTGTGCTGAAGAAGCCGGTTCGAACACTTTGCAGCTTGCTTTAACAATGGTTAACGCATCACCCTTGTGAATTTATAAACGTGTCCTTCATCACCATATGGCAGCTCTTGAGATCGCCCACACAAAATGCCTTTCAAGCTTTTTCCCATTTTGTTTGAGTGGAGTGCTCGAATCAAGGGAACTCTTGTACCCAGTAAAGTAAGATGCACTTTATTCACACTGTTTGACACTAGAGTTAGTATTACTCAACCGGAAATGAATATGATCGAGATGATTTAAAGTACACTAGAATCCCTTTTAAAGAACCACCTTGGGGAAAGCAAATTCAATTCGAATTATCGGGAGGTTTAAAAGAACCAGGGTAAACTGATTATAGTATTTGACTGTCGAAGGGAAGTTAAGTTTGGTTCGAATTAGTAGGAATTTCGAAGAAACTGAGAGTTCAAGAATTGGAGACTCCATTGTCCAGGAGCACCCAACGAGAATATAGTTCAAAACCGCTTATACATAGCATTGTTGAACGTATTTTAGATATAGGCATATTTTTATCTCCTAAAAAGTTTTCATCTGTTCTGATTTCCTAGCTGAAAGTCTAGTGATCCGAAAATTGTAGGGATCAAAACTTACTTTTTCGAAAATTTCAGCAAGAAAAAAGGTATCAGAAAATTCTAGGTGACCTTTTTAGGGTAAAAATTCGTTAAAAATGGGCAATTATACCATTTTTTAGATGTTCGAAAACCCTAGGAGAGGCAGGCAAGCAAGAAATTTACAACAAAGATTCCGAAAATTCTAGATCTCAAATCGTCTTCCGAACAGATATTTTCCAAAAATTGACGTTGGGTGCCCCTGACTGTTGTGCTTTCTTTCTTTTATTTTTATCTTTTAAATTTTTAAATTTTTGTGACTGTTGTGCTTTGGGCGGGATGGAGAAAAGGACTTTTTAGGTTTAGTGCTGAAGATGGAGACCTTGATCGGCTGACTCTTAGCATTGATGGGGACCCTTCTTTGACTCAGGGTATCAGGTTTTAGCCTGAATTTTTGCTTAATTTTGAAAGAGTTTCCAGGAATAATATTTACGTATATGCAATTTATTCTA